AGCACAGCCCCATTCTAGCTACTAGGAAGAAAATTAACTCTATCCCCAGCAAAACCAGCACAGCTGCCTACAATTCCACTAAGCCTAAGACCTGAAAGCATTGACTGCTAAAGGCATGTAAAACTGAGCACAGGAAAAACCTCAGAAAATTCCTGCTGGCTCTTCACCACAGGAGATAATGCATTATAACACAGATTTCCCCCAAATCTCTGCAGGATCTACAAATCCCTCCTTGCAAACCTTCCAATAATTCCCACACACACACAGTATGTTCTGTTACCACCCTGTTGTATTCAGCTGTTTTCTACATCAGCCCAAGTGTTCTCATCTATGAAACTTACTCAATGACAGCACGATTTAAAAAAAAAAAAATTCACCTTTCTTTCAGATTCTGAATTTCAACCACTTTAATTTCCCCAGCACTTTTATGAAAACCTGTAAGGAATCTTAGCAACTGGCACATTAATTTACTATTTAAAATGGCCGAGACCTCCTAATGCAGAAATCGAGTGCAATGACATCTTCGCATTGCTAAAGAATTGCTCACAAACCAAACTTTTCAACCTTCAGTATAGTTAAAACTAATTCTTGTTTTAGAATTCTTAGTTTTGGGTGTTGGACTCTGATTTCCAGATATCTCTTCCAACTCTAACTATTGTGTATTGTTTCCAGGCATTTCAGGCATTTAAAGGTCTTCAGTTATCCATCAGTTCTGTTCTAATTTCAACAGTCTCCTGGGCTAACCATATTTTATGATTTGTCTTTTTATGTAGATGCAAGTATTTACATACAGAAAAAAATACTTTGATCATCTGCTGTGACTTGTATAGCACATGGACACATGCCCTCAATTAAGTTTTACTTAGGTACATTTTAAAGGAAGAATATCTAGTTGAATTAAAGTTTTCCTTTGATGAATATCCTACCATAATGTGCAATAAATTACCCCCTTGCTGAAGATGCAGTTCTTATTTCTACTGCAAATGTGTCTGGCTCATATTTTAGCCACAGGATCTTGATATCCCATCATTTTCTTCTTCATCACAGAATTTCTGTTAACAAGGCGCAGGCTTAAACACTGCAATTAAGTCACTCCCCTCCTTTCTCTTTGATTATATTTAACATATTGAGTTCTTAGAATTTCTCCCTCAGGAGCTATTTTCAGCCTTTATTCATTCTTAGAGCTCTTCTCTGAAGTCTCTTTGACTCTAACATCCTGCTTGAAGTATGAGCACCCAAACTTGACAGAAATTCTTGGCATGATCTCAGTAGTGCCAAACACAAAGACACGGTACATTTCCTGCCCAGTCATATAGAGATTGGGTCATACTGGAGCTTTTCCCAAGTTACCTCAAATCAATCTGTATTTACATGGAAAACAGTTAACTGAGAAGCTAAAACAAGCAATCCAGAGAAAACTGAAGAACAGACCCAACAATTCTACTAATTCAACTTCCCAGATGACTGTTGCATATATTCCCCTCCCTACATTTGTTTGGGAGACAAATCCCTCTGATTTTCAAGGAGGAAGCCCAAGAAAACTGTGGGACTGCTGAATCCTTTGGCTCTGGATAAAGGTGGAATGCTGTACTTAGTAGTGTATAGAGTTAACCAGCCTGAATTCAAAGCCAAGGCTTACTGAGGTTAACAACCCATGTCAATAGTGTTCTATCATCAATTTTTAACACAAGTAACAGGTCAGTAATAAATAACAGCATATTCACATTTTTATTCAGTACCAGTACAAAGAACTACAAACACATTTGCACAAGAAACCAGAAGAAGCAGTGTAGGTGAACCTTCATTTGATTACTCCTTGACTATGTTTTCAGATATGCAGTCTTGGTATTTTTTTCCCTACTAGATCCCAACTGACCAACAGATACCACAGCAAGAAGACGGCTGAGAGAATACAACTGCTCTTCTGCTCTCAGCCTGGGCTGTGACAGGTGTACTTGATTATCAGTTTTTTGGAACTATACTGGAGGATAAACAGTGACCTTTGCTGCTTCTCTGCACAGCAGCATTAACCAGGCACACTGACAGACTCAAGACATGCTGTGATGCACATGTTGCTAAGTCTTTGAGAACACAGTGCATTGTTTTCAACTGCTGATAGAATCACAGAACCTCCTAGGTTGGAAAAGGCCTCTAAGAACATCGAGTCCAACCATTAACCCAGCACTAAACTGTGTCCTCAAGTGTCACATTTACACATCTTTTAAATCCTCCAGGGATGAGAACTACACCAGTCTCCTGAAGAGATTGTTCCAATGCGCAACAGCATTTTTCCGTGAAGGATTTTTTTCCAGCATCCAATCTAAAACCCCCCAGACATAAGCAGTTTTCTCTTGTCCTTCTGCTTGTTACTCAGGAGAAGAGACTGATCCTCACCTGGCTAGAAACTCTTCTCAGTCAGAACACTGAGTTACTTACTGGAGGCAATTTTCCCATCAGTATCTGCTCTGTATCCTACAGCTGCAAATAATGCCTATTTCATAGCTGGATTACTAGCAAACCAAAGCATAATCTGCACAAAAATGCCAAAGAGGATCCCAATCCTACTAAATTTTCATTTAGAGCCATCTATCAATGACGTCCTCATATTACATTGCATACTCCTAATGAGCTCATTTATAAATGTATTTATAATGCATGTGTCTAAACACCAAAGCAAACATCACAGGGGAGGAGAGGGTTGGAAAAGAAGAAAACGAAACCAAACAAAACGAGAAAGCATAATACTTCCCAAGTAGAGTTTAGGCAATTCTATACTATAATTCTATACTATAATTCTATGGCAGGAATGCTGGCCTTGACAACAAAATTATGTTTAGAGTAGAAGATCCAGAGCCACTGAAAAAGTCTGAGGATTTAGAAATGTCTATTTGACAGATTACCATAATGAAGATCTACAGCACACGTTCCCTGGAGGATTACATGTGAATCACGAAGAACGTCTGAAATAAATCTGTTTATTAAGGGGGAGATAAAGCACTTTGAAGGTCTATTTTTGTCTGGTTTGTATTCATACCCTGAGGTTATTTAAAAAGAGGGAAAAAATAATGCAGGTATGTACCACAGCAGTGACAGGCAAAGACTTCAGCTATGAAGATTAACAGAGCGGGAAGTCATATGATCCAGCCTGACTATGGGAGTTGCTACCAAAAAACTGCAACTTGTGACATCCATGTGAACCACGAGCATCCTGCTATTAACTTAGACAATTCTGACTTTCTTCCCATTTAAACGTTATTTTCTTCTTCAGATAAACAATGTGGACTCAACTCTTAAAGGCAAAAAAACCCCCAGTTTTCCCTTATCACAAACAAAAGTACTGCTTCATCATCCAACAATGTGACCTGTTGGTCTCATTTCAGCCAACATCTTCAGCAATGTAAAACTCTCATAATTTTAAGGATGCGAAAAAAACTTCTAAGTTTAGATAGACACAAAACCCAAGAAATAGCTGATGAAACTTGGGAAAAAAAAAGTGTGTTTCTGTGGGATAGATTATTTTTTTAAAGAAAATATTGTGTTTGTAGCTCTAGAGTTTTCAATTTAAAAACTCCAGTGGGGAAAAAAAACCTGCTAAAGGTAAACTACAAAAGATCACTCTTTGGCTTGCTTCAGGTGATTTGACATTATTTAATCAGGTAGATTACCATACAGTTAAGACATGCACTGGGAATGTGATCCATGACCAAAATTCTCAGAAGAAACTTTTTAGTATTTTGATGATAGCAGAGATAAATGCTACATTATGGATGTACTGGGACTCATACAAGAGCTCTTTAGATTAAAATTCTAAAAATACATACGGTTATTGCTTGATATACAGGACTGGTATAGTTACAGTTTCAGTCATCTAATGCTTTCCATATGCTAACCACTGAACAAATAAATTTGCCTGTAAATGCAAGAAATATGCACCAAGCAATAAATAAGCCAACATGAAACAGGCTGTTCATATCAGGGTTAAAAATCTAAATTCTTTATTTCTTCCCTGAATATTTCTGTCCTCATGACTCAGCAGCAATGCCGCAAGTTTCAGCTGAAGTCAGCGAGATGCCTCAGTGCTGTTTTGCAAGTGTCAACTCCATGCTCGTTACGGAGTTTGTTTTAATTACAATTTTGAGGCCTCTCAGTTACAGAGACGAACACCTGCCGAAGTCAAGGAGTTCGGTATGGACGGAGAAACCAAGACACTGAGGATCACACAGAAGGGCGACAATGACAATGTCGTCCTAGACTGAAACTTGCAAAATGTGCCGGTTGCGTTTCTGGTACCCTGAGCACACCCCAAATCCCGAGCGGGAGCGCGTCCTGCCATCCTCCCGACTGCGCTCACGGCTCGCAGCAAGTGTTCAGCACGCGACACAGCTCTCTGCGTTTTGGGGATTCTGTTTCAACATTTAACAAACACATCGCTCAGCTTCTAAACTCAGGCGAGACCGCGCTCGTGTCCTGTTTCTCAGCGAACAGAAAGCAAAGAGCAGAACACGGAGCGGGCGGTGGGAAGCAGGGATGGAGAGAGAGCGGGAGCTCCCGGGCTGTGCGGGACAGTGCACGGCGCACTGCCCTGCCCCAACCCACCTCCAGCCCGGAGCGCCCAAGGTCCCGGTGGAGCAGCCGCGGATCCTTCCATTCCACCGAGTTCTGAGTTACTTTTAGAAAAAAAGCCACGCACGGAGCTGACCGGGGCTCATCCCGCCCGCGGGGTCGGGGTGAGGAGCCCGGGGGTCCCCGCGGGGTCGGGGTGAGGAGCCCGGGGGTCCCGCCCGCCCCTGGTCCGTCCGAGCCGGCGGTACCTGCGCTCTGCCCGGCGGTACCTGCGCTCTGCCCGGCGGTACCTGCGCTGCCCCCGGCGGTACCTGCGCTGTGCCCGGCGGTACCTGCGCTCTGCCCGGCGGTACCTGCGCTGCCCCCGGCGGTACCTGCGCTGCCCCCGGCGGTACCTGCGCTCTGCCCGGCGGTACCTGCGCTGCCCCCGGCGGTACCTGCGCTGCCCCGCGCGGTGCCCGGCTCGCACGGCCCGGCCCGGCCCGCCCAGGGAGTTTTCAGCAGCCGTAAAGCGGAGCGCGCCCGGCCCCGGCCGTGAGGGGCCACCCCGGGGAGCGCCCGCGGGGCCGCGCCGGAGCCGCCGATCCTCGCCGCGACGGGACGGGACGGGACGGGACGGGAGTGGTTTGGTTTCACGGGAGCGCGGAATGGTTTGGCTGTAAAGAGCATCTTGTTACAACTCTTGTGCCGCTGGCAGGGACGGCTTCCACCGGAGCCGGGTGCGCACAGCTCTGTCCAGCCCTGAGCGCTGCCAGGGACGGGGCGGCCGCGGCTTCTCTGCGCAGCCCGTGCCGGGTATCGCCGAGCGCGCAGGGAACAGTTTATTTCATGTGTCTAATCTAGGTCCAGCCTCTCTGCACCGACAGCTATTCTCCATCGTATCATTCCATCCCTAATCAAAAGCTCCTCTCCAACCCTCTGTTAGCCCCTTTAACCAGGAGGGGCTCTGACGTTTCCTTGGAGCTTTCTCATCTCCAGGCTGAACTGCCCAAACTCTCTCAGCCTTTTGTACCGTCTGACAGGCAACGGTGGTGCTCAAGCCTTGTTTTGCATCTTTTGTGGGGGGATAATTGCTGATGTGCAGCTTTTTGTGCCTGTACAAGTCACAGCCCGGGAGCTGAGGGGAGCTGAGCGTTCCCGGCAGGATCCGCACCCAGAGTGGATCTCTGTGTTTGGGTCATCCATCCCCGCGGATCCCGAGCATCCCAGCGCTGCGGGCACACCCGAAACTGAGCCCATCCCCGCGGATCCCGAGCATCCCAGCGCTGCGGGCACANCGAGCATCCCAGCGCTGCGGGCACACCCGAAACTGAGCCCATCCCCGCGGATCCCGAGCATCCCAGCGCTGCGGGCACACCCGAAACTGAGCCCAGAAGCATCCAGCCACACCACAACGCAGTTTTGTAGGTGTCTGCACTGCCGCGATTACACTGCTCTCACAAAGACAAACTTTGATCCTGAATGCACCGTCATTACAATACTGCCTCCTTATTAAAACAAATTTCCCCGGCCCAGATTAATGACTTAGTTTTGCTTGGAAGCACTTTGCTGTTAATTCTGTCCCTAAATCTACGATTTGCCCTGTAATCCCGGATGCTACCACACAAGGTACAGGGCTCAGTTGTTCAACAAAGGCAGGAGAAGCATCAGACTGATAAATTTCACTCTCCGAAGTCAGGTTTAGTATTGTTTAAGGGAATTACTGGTAGAAATGTTCATTTTAAGAAGGAGAAATATGTCCAGCCACTCTTCCCAGAAAGACGCTTATGAAAGAAAGAAAAAAAGAACATTTAAAATGTTTTCCCTACTGAATAAAAACTATTGAAATAAAGGCATTTTAGCCCAGCAGCTGCTGCAGAAAAGGCAGAAAACAAAGTCTTCTAGAAGTCTTCCAGGCATATGGTGCATGTAGAAGCAGACAGAAAAGCAAATTTCAAGCATTTATAACAGAACTGGCTTCTGCTAATAAAGTATTAATGGGAAAGTCTGGCTTGACTGCTGCAGCACTGAACACATTTTTAGAAAAAAAACAGCATTGTGGTCACTACAGAGCAGGTGAACTAGTCTACAATCCTCATTAATAAAGTACTTTTTTCACCATTAAGCAGAACAGCTGCAGCTGGAGGTGTACTTTTCATGCCCAAAGAAATCTGTCAGGCTTGTAGGTATACAAATGCATTCACTCAAAGCATGATTCAGCAGTTTGTATTCACAATTTTTTAATCTCCTGCAATATCATGTTATAACTCTGCTCTTTCCTACATTCTTCTCTTTTCTATACCACCCGCAGGTACGAGCCATGGCTATAGACTGGTTTTGTTAGTCACTCCAGACTGGAGGATTTTGCGCTGTGTAGCTTAAGCCAGTCATGCCCATTCGGGGAGAAAAGCTGAGGCTGAAGTTTAAAACAGATTTGACTCCACCACAGTTGCACATTTCCTTGCTTCACCTACTGAACTACTTCTAGATAGCCCCAAGCTTGGCACAAGTGTGAGCTGACACTGCAGCAGAGAAATCATCTCCAACTGCAAAATGCAGCAGCCATGACCCCACATGCTTTCACACAGGGCTCCAAACTCGTTAGGAGTTTGTCAGGAAAGCTCTTTGGAGTCTCGTGACTCTTAGTAAGAAATTCCTAGACAAGTCTCTTAATTTCTAAGTAATAGCCAGAAGTCAATCAAATACAAAATTCTATTAACTTTTTGCTAAAACTAGGCGAGCTTTGCTGCCCAGACCCTTGTCTTCCTGCTGCTGTTGTAAGAATTTCTCCCTTCCCAACATTTTTTGCCAAGCATTGGCCTCGTCTAAGATCACAGACAGAGAGCATTTGGTTACCACAGAACAGAGCTGCAACCAAAGGGAAAAGTTTGAGACAACTGCCAAAGCTTCTATTTTATACTAAATGACAACCACACACTCTAGAAGTCACCAAAAAAAAAAAAAAAAAAAAAAAAAAAAAAAAAAAAAAAAAAAAAAAAAAAAAAAAAAAAAAAAATCAAATGATGCCCCAACATCCAGGGAAACTTAAATAGATTTACTCTATGAAGAAAAAGAATTCTTGCAATTACATTTTGCAAAAACTTCCTGTGGCCTGGCTAGAAAAGGACACGCAAAAGAATCAAATATAAACTTAAAACCTTCCCTAAAACTTTGGAAACAGTGCATGAAAACTGTACATTGACAGGTGTACATCAGTATTGGTGCACATCCATCCTTATCAAAAAAATATCGGGTAGTTTGGAAATGGGCATGGAAACATGGCAAAATTGAATATTAAGAGACTTCATTGACTTGAGATACAGGATAAGAGTTTCTAAGCGTTTGCTTTCCAAAAAGTCTAGTCCAGAATCAGAACAATTTGAGTTGGAAGAGACTCACAAGGGTCATCGAGTCCAGCTCCTGGTTAGGTTCAAAGAAATCCATGTGATGGTTTTAACTCCTGACTTTAAATGACTATTTATAAGAATAAGTTTACTTTCCTTCTGTAGGTGAAAGTTGGGTTGGGTTGGTTTGTTTCTTTTCGTATTTTTACCAGCCTGCAAAGTGATGGAGCTTTAGGCATTCTGTGCAGCAGAACTGCCACCTCGTGGCTCCCTTAATCCTTGCTGGGTTTGATGCTGCGGGTTTTGGGTTGTATTCGATTAACTAACAGAAAAATCTAAATTTTTAAGAGAGTCCAGTCTACGACCCATATAAGAAAGATCCTACCTGGCTGCCACGCCGGTGAACTGACACTGTGAAGGGTGATGTCCTCTCCCCTGCTGGAGGACACTGATCACTGTAGTTGGCAGGACTATTTATTCCAGTGCAGGAGAAGGACAGCATTAAAACTGTCATTTTAAAGGTCTGAAAGGGACCTACAGCCCTGCCCCTTATCACCCATTCCCGCAGCATTTAATCAAGGAAGGTTCTGAGACCAAGAGGACCGGTAAGCATGCCTGGAATGTCAAGTCCTCCTTCTTTACACAGGCTGAAGGCACCACACATTTAAATAACAGAAGCCCCACTTGAGGAAACAAGATATTAAATACCTTTAAAACCATCTGCTAAATGCAGTTTGAAAGTCTAAAATTCCTTTTTATGGCCAGTCTCTGCCTTTTATACTGAAAAATTAATTGGATATATGTATTTTACAGAACAAATCCATGATTCAGCAAGAAAATTAATGAAATGAAGAGGCAGTTGGAGCTGCTGCCAAGAACAGTCATTTCAGACCTAGCAACCTTGGAAAATGACCTTTTAAATAATTAATTTGGAAAAATAACACTACAAAGCAACAAAAATGAGCATTACCTACCTATAAAGTCTGCTAACAGCAATAGCTTCCAAAGAATGAAGACATTAAATGGATCATGGAAACTCACTAGAGCTGATGGTCCTGTAGCAGGTATCCTGAGTGTTGAACTGCCTCACTGCACCTCCTAAAGTAACTCCAGGTTAGCTCAGGGAATGTTTCTAACCCTGTAAGTCAAGTCCTCTGATCCAGAGAGAAAGAGTGCATGGTTGTACAGCTGTGAGAAAGTGAGAAGATAACAAAATTCGGCCTAGAAGGGCTACCATGGCTTTCCCAAGTACTCAGGAAAGGATAACTAAACAGGGAGGAATGCAACATACTTAGGCAAGCCATTAATTATTCATCATCCCATAAGCAGTGAAATACCTCCCTAAAAATGGCTTTACACAATTGGAAGAATTGGTCTGATTCATGTTTAAGTAGTGCATAGTGATGCAAAACAACTTCTGGGGTTCTGAAGTACACCTGAAATTTTTCTATCCCTTGATCCATGCCTTACAAAGAATAACTAGCAAAAGCAGGAAATTCTAATTTTAGACAAGCTTAAACTAGAGCATGATTATTTTTTCTGTAAAGGAAATGACTCCCTACTTTATCACATTTTCTTTAAACTTTGAAATCTATCATATTGAAATGAGATGGAAGTCCTGTTTCTTGTCAAAGCTTTCCTGCAGTGGATTGTCCCCACCCTTCCCCTCCCACTCAGTAAAGCTGTATCCTTAAGCTGCAAGATGCAGTTCCCCAAAGTCTGTGCAGCTCTCTTGGTACTGGAAGGGGCTTTGATGTCTCCTAGAACCTTTTCAGGCTGAACAACCCCAATTTTGCCTGACTCCATTGGAGAGATGCTCCAGGCCTCTGATCATCTCTGTGGGACTCATTCCAGCAGGTCCAAATCATCTTTATAGTGGAGGCTCCAGAGCTGGACACAGCACTCAGAGAACCCCAGACCCACTCATTCAAGAGATGCAAGTGAATATAATCTACACCCCTCATATGCAGGGCTCCACAACACCCCAAGTCATTTCACAAGAGAAACAGTTTCTATGATAAAGATTATGGTCACAGATTATGGAGAACACATGCATCTTGCTTTCTTCATTATTTAAAGAATAATCACTGGTGGATTTTAGGAGATTTTTGTGAATTGAAACAGAAAATGAGAACAGGTAGAGAAGCTGAGCCTTAATCCTCCAATTTAATTTCCTTTAATCTTGTTTATAGAATATATCCTCTTTTTTAACTACCC